ATTCGTCGGCCGCCGCGTCGTCGAGCACCCTCAGGGCCTCGACGGTGCGCTCCTCCACGGTGGGTCCTCCGCGGGTCAGCCAGGCACCCTCGCGCGAGGAGGGGGAGGCTCCCAGCGGCAAGGCGGGGGCAGTGGCGCCGTCCGAGAAGCCGTTGCAAGCGCAGCTGGGCGGGGGCCGCCTCAGGCAGTGCCTCACCGGCCTGGATCAGGTGGTCGCTCTTGTGCGCGCGCGCAATGCGTCGTCGGGCACCGAGATGACGTGAGGGTGAGCGCTCGAGCACCTTCTCGATCTCGACTACGTCGTACGTGTAGACGCGCGCATACGGGCACACCCCGCGCGCATGTGGACACGCCCCGCGCGCGTCAGCGGGCGTATGTGCACACCGGAGCGCTGGGCCGCGTCGGCCGGGGCCGCGCCGTGTACTTTACTATTATTTTGTACCTCATGCATGTGAAAATAGACCACACTGGAGCGAGAAACGGCAACCATATCTCGCGACGTAGACCGTAGGCACCGTACGGCATATCAACCTACATCCTAAATAAAACAACAACAATAACCGACGAACGACGCGTGAGACGTGAGACACCGCAAATCTGCGTCGTCGCACGGTCACCTTTGGCGGGTTCGGCACACGGTTCATCATCCCCCCTAATCTCTCCGCCGGAGGTCCCGCGCATCCCGCACAAGCAAGGACGTACGCCGGCCCATCTTCGGCTGCTCTTCCGGCTCATCTTCGGTGCAACCGCGTCGCTCCTCAGAAGGCCGGAACTCTAGCGGGAAGTGCACGGGCAGTAGCCGTCGGCGCACGTCTTGGCTGTGGACTTCATGTGCATCGGCTCGTCGACGAACTGCATGGTCTCAGTGTCGGCGCCGCCGATGCAGACCTTGGAGGCTTCTGCGCCCCAGTACTTCTCGCAAACCGTCATGTACTCCGGCGAGGCGACGATCTGCGCGCGGGCGGTGCGCGGCGGGCGGTAGGCGGGTGGACGCGCCGGTGGCGGCTGGCAACCGCCGATACGGACGTCGAGGCGTTTGAGAGGTGTGGGCCGTGTGCAGGTGCAGCGGGTAAGTGCATAGGACGGAATGCGAAGGGGGCAGTGGTTGGGAGGCGGGGAGCGTGGGAGGTGAGGGGAGAGGGGGGAGGGAGGGGACGAGGGAAGGGGAGGGGGGATGAAATGGATGGGGCGGGTGGGGTTCGGGGGGAGGCGGGGGCGGGGGCGTGCCTTTTCGATGCAGGGGTTGAGCACGCCGGCGAGGCCGGAGCCCTTCTTGGAGATCGCGAGGGTCGTGCCGTTGACGGACCACTGGTCGAGGCCGGTGTGGATGAATGTACGCGCGAGCTCTCATCAACGGATTGCACAGCATGAAGGAAAGCCGGCGAGACTGGACTGTCGAAGCCGACCTCGCAAGTAAGCGCTCATTAACGGCGCGCGCCCTTGCACTTCACCACATATCATCTCATGGCCCGTGCCCCACCCCTGACGTAGTTCTCGTCAAGGTCAACAACGGGTTTCAATACGACAAACTTCCCTACAACGAGCGACACCGCTACAGCAGGCTGCTACACTTCCTGCCTCCCGACCTCTGCAACGAGTTCTTTCCGACGAAACAACTTCCATCCGATGCGCTGCCGCCTCGAGTCCTCATGGGCAGGAGCCTTCTGGGCAAGCCCGTGATGCGTCTGCCATACGAGGGCAGCGCATTCATCGAGGCGGACGACGGCAGCGGCAACCTGCCTGAATACGCCGACATATCTCTCATCTCCGAAACCAAGGCCGCCATCTCTATTCCGTTCGAGTGGCCGCTCTGCATCGATCCGACGCACATCATCACGAGTGACGGATCACAGGTCATCTCTCCCTATGCAGTCGATGATGTGACGCGGGACACGCGTCTATCCGAGCTGCAAAAGGACATCTCCGTCTTCGCATCTCGGCGTCTCCACCGCCGGGTCTGCTCTGTCGTGCTATTCGAAGAGTGCGGCCAGTCTGACCACGAACCTGCCGTGACGCCGTGGTGCGACCCGAGCGCGACTGCCAAAGAGGTCGATCTCTTCAACGTCGCGGCGGGGGACCGGCTGCGTGTCTACATCGTAGTCGATTCACTCGCCGCCGTCCCTGAAGACGAGCCATTCTGTCCGATCGTTCCTCAACAACCTGTCCCACCGCCGCCTCCGTTTCCGCCGTGCGCCTGCGACCGCACACCAGCGCTGCCGATGCCAGCCTCGCCAGAAGCTCCGCCGCCAATGCCGCCACTGCCAAACATTCCCACTGCCGACGCGTTGCAACGAGCAAGAGCCCTCGTACGTGACGGTGCCGGAACCATACGACCCCGAGCGCCCGCCCACAACTTTCTCGCCCGTCGTATGATCGAGGCGAATCGTGCTGATCGAGAAGACAGCGTCAATCAAAGAATTTTACATAGGTACCCTGAGGTACTCAGCCAAAGTACTTTAAAACAAATCTTCAAAGCGCCCTGTGGCACAGCTCGCGTTACAAAACCTTGATTTGACCATTTGCGCAAAAAGGTACATCTCGGTGCCTTCCAGAGGCAGCTGCGACCCCG